TCTTTACCCAAAAAGTATTTGCTAAACTAGTGTGTACTGAATTATTCCATGGACTACGCATAGTACGAGTACACCAGGGTCTGAACTATACAATGATTAAGAGAAACTAACTAAAAAACCATGCACTGTTGAAAGATATGGATTTGTTGATCGTGAGTTGTATAGTATGCACGCTGTCCCACATGGCCTACAACGCGTGCATTCAATGTGTCTCACGCTGTCGTCAATGTGTTAAACGATGAACAGATTCATCCTCATCACCTTCTGTTTCGTTGACGGTAAATGACAGTTCAACCGGGCAAAACTGCATTTCTTCCTTTTATTTCGTTTCGACTGCACTTACACTGCAGATCCCAGCGATGGAGTGGGCTTGGCTGAGTACTCCACTTGGCGCAAGATGCTTGTTCGTGGGATGGATATTTCATTTTGATACGACTGTTGTCCTATTTCGTACTGGATAAAGTCATGGTTGCAGTTGTTCTGGAACTGCATATCGCCCTAGAAGCGCAGATTTAGATGGGGTACGCAGCAGCGGGACTCTCCATCTCCGAGATATGGAGTGTATTTCAGATGCATGCACTCAGGGTACCTAATTTGTCGATAATATTGCGCCACGAAACGTCATGCCATCAACTATCGACGACTGTGTATAGAAGATTGCGGCCCCATACTACTATTGCGCCACGGCAATAAAATTAAGAAAACACTAGAGAGAAAAAGTGACTCACTTCTTGTGCCCAACACCAACAGTATGTGTTGTGAAATAGAAATAGGTGTCACTTATGCGTCCATGATACCCTGTGACCGTAAACAACTTGCGCATCCGACAGCTCAATCGACACTTGACCCATCTCACTTTGATCTCCACTCTATAAAAAAAATGTTAAATTTCCTAACGAACCTTCGGCCAACTTGGGCGCTAACGTAGTTGGGAGGGAGGACTACTCAACCTCGCCTTAATATCGCTTCACCGAAAAGGCTTCGGGTCGAAGCGCGGACGACCAGAGTCATCCAGTGACAGCCTCGCAGAGCAGGCATAATCTTCAATTAGCCTAAGCATTGGATTCCAGGGCAGTAGCGAATGTTCCTCCCTCTCAACTATGTCAGCGCCCGAAATTGCCCGTCACTACACAACAATACCACCACAAGCTCCCTATCTAGAACTTTGGCTAGCCGGTACCTCAGCATAAAACGTTGGGCAAAAGGAAGATTATCGCGTGAAAAATAAAATTTTGAAGTCAATCATTCAGAAAGCATCCACATCGAAAAAACAAGCCATAGGGAAGATATTAAGAGCGCTACAGTACTATTGGGTCACGATCGTCTTTACAGACCCCTTTGTCGGACGACATCAATGACGTTTCATGACGCGTCAATGACGAGAAATTTGCATCAAAATGTGCCCTCCT